AAACCATGAAAAACCCAGTTGTTGGTGTGTGTTGTTTCCTGGAGGGGTTGCCCGTTGCCAGGGTCTAATCGACAATTGAGAAAAGCACCTCAAAATTCACTCGCTTTTAAGTTCGTTTTATTTGGTTCGTGTGAAGATAGGAAGTGAGGACTCATGGGTCATGTCACACTTGTGGCGACGTCCGCTTGACCGAAGGCGAGCTGGGTGGCAGTAGCCGTAGCCTCTTTTGTTGATGATCAAATTTGTAGGCGCGTACGCAATTTGCTTCAATCGTTGTATAATCCTCCAGGCGAACGGACACCCAGCACACCACTGGAAACACCCGCTTCTTTTCAACTTCTATCTATCTATCTATCTATACATATGTGTGTGTGGCGGTGATAGCTGCAATCTTTCTTTCAAGACACTGCTGTGAGGAGAGTGATAAACATATTTCTGGCTGGTTGCTAGCCTCTCTGCTGCCCAAGTGCGTTCGGATGTCGAACCAGGAACCCCACTCTGTGTCCCTCAGGGTGCTCAGGTTCTTGGCAAACCTTTCGCACAAGCCTTGCTCCTTGTTGGCTTGAGCAGGGCGAAGGGCATTTCCAACTGATGCCCATTGGCCTTTGATCGAAATCTGGAGGGATTGGGCAGGCCCAGGGAGGCCCGGTGCGAATGCATGCGATTATAATGGCGCTGTGGCAGGTCTCGCACTAGGGATCTCGCGAATGGGAGCGAAGGGGACCTCGTAGAAGGACCTCGGACAAAGGTCTTGTGGGGGCAGTCTAGCCCCAAAATTTCCTATATAAATCCCCCCAACCCTGAAAGTGAAACTGGTGGCGCAGCACTCCTGCTATGCTACCCATCGAAGGTCAAACCACTGAAACGGATCAGTGGTAAGGGAGGACGGAAAACAACGCAAGCACCTTTTCCTACCATCGGGCACATTCACATGTACAAACTGTCAACGAACTGGTGTGAGTGCCTGTTTGACATTTCATGTTGGCCTTGTAGGCCTTCTGGTTGGCCCTTTGGGAGATCACCAGACCCCGGGCGACGGCTTCGTCTGTTGCCTCTGGCTCTTCTTCTTCTTCTTCTTCATCCTGACGGGCGACGATGACCTGTGAGCTCTTCTTCAAGGGTGTTCATGGCATCCAGGATGAAGCTAGTCCCCATTTCTTCCTCCGGTGTGGCTAAGCGCACACCACTCTGACGACAGTGCCTTCAAGTGAGGTGGTCGGCTTCCTGCATTCAAGGCTGTCTTCAAAAGTTCATGGGAGTCCAGCCAATGAAAGGCGGCAGCAGCTTCTTGGCGCATACGCTCCATCAATTGATGTTCCTGGAGCTCCAAGAGCTGACTGTTGGTGGCAAACTGCACCTCAGCACGATCGACCTGTTCCACTAAAGATGAAGGAATGACCTGACCCCGTCCAGGACAAACGCTTCTTGGCTTGGACTGCCATTGCCAGGGCATACTGCAAGGAAGATTCCTTAGTCAGCACCAACTCATGTAGCACCTTAAGCAAGATGAGCTTCAGAATAGTAGGTCCATACCTCTCTGCCAGGCCAGCCTTCCATTTGGCTGATGTCGGCAGCTGACAAAGACACGGGAACCGACCACGAAATTCCGGCCCCCCATCGACCGAGACTTCTTTCATTGGTCCATTGGTCTATGCACCATCACCCAATTGTCAATCAGAACCGAGCAGCTCACTTGCGAAGAAGGATTCTTGGATAAAACAGCATATTGCAAGGAACAGAACCCATCAACCACATGGGTCACACTCCACGGCTGGTTGTCAGCATTGAAACGAAGAAAGAATCCAAAGAGCAGAGAGCAGTGCGCATTGAACCTCTCGGGTGCTTTGGACGAGGCTTGGCTGCCTGGTTGCGGATGGCTTTGCTCACCCTCAAGGAAGGACCCGCAAACTTGCAATACACATACCGGCTATCCATCCCACTAAAATCACCCTTGCGTTCATCCTCTTCTCGCTGCAGTCGACGAAACGCCTGTTGATTGGCTAAGTCGGGATGCAGATCATCAGTAGCGGCCCCAAGAGCAGTCCACGCGGCTGCTCCTTGAGCCTCTTCCCAAGACCTGAAAGCGGCATCACCCCAGGGTTCCTCGCGCCTCATCTGTATGGTGACATGCATGATCCCCATGACATTGAGTGCACCGCCCCAGCTTGCAATGAGGGCGCCACGAGACCCCAAAAGCATAGCATCCAGCCGAGGCACGCGTGAGTGACCGTTAATCGGTCTGCAGGAACACTGGGTCTTGTTGTTCCAGCTCTTCTTCAAAGCCGGTGCACGAGCCCCCCACCCGTTGTTGCCAGAGTGTCGTGTGCTGTAAGGTCAAGGCAGCACATGACAAAATGCGTCTAGCAAAACATGGCGCCCACATGCCAGCTACAAGGGAACGATTCAGCCGCTTGCCATCGATCATGGTTTGTCCTTCAATCGTTTCATGTTCATGAGGGCATGAGCACATAAACCATGAACCATCAAAGCCGCTGCAAACACTTCTGAATTGACATCCAAAGCAGTTTGCTTTATTTAGCTTGTGGCTCACCATATCATTGACATTGGTCCACCGCGGCTCGAAACACAGAAGGACGATTGCACATGCACTCCAGACTCCAACATCAAAGCGGCGCTCTTCATGCAATGGCTGTCCCAACAAAACAAGACGACCTGCCCTGCGTTGAATTTTCAAACCTACTGCCTTAGGGTTCGATGGCTGTAAAGATGACCAAGGGCCACAAGGAGGTTCAAGGCACACAAGATCAGGCGCTGAAGCTCAACAAATCAGAGCCATACATCAAGTCGACCGGTTCCAAATCAATCCATTTGCCTGTCGAACGAGCGATCAATGATAAATTGGTACTCTCACAAAAAACCTCTAATACCTTCCAGGCAGTGTGGTCACGCACTTCGCCACCAAAGATAAATGAGACATGGCTGTCCTGATTTGTTTGACACTTTGCTTTGATCGCTGGACTCGACCGCGACTCCAGGCATGAGTCACGCACGGATTGCGCGGCACGGCTCACTCTGCTCCCTCACTTCATGAACGGCGGCCCGTGAGGGCCCTGAAGCGTCTTGGTGGCGCCCCCCAAGTGCCCCCACAGCGCAGCCACCTCGTGAGAGAACATCATGGGCGTCGGCGATAGCGGCGGCCCTCTTCTGTCATGGCATCCCGGGCTCGCAGCATCAACACCATTTGCTTTCACTTGTGCACCAGGAGGCGTCCATGAATGGTCCAGCTCACGTTCATCACGGGATCGGCTCTCAGGGTCATCCCAAGCGTCGTCGGACACTCTGCATTCAGGCCCGTGAAGGCAAGATGCTGCTCCTTCTTGGTTCGCGGTCTTGGTCGGCTCCTGTTCCGTCACGCTCATCTCCTTCTTGGTCGGCGGCAGAAGACTTGTAGCCCCCCTGCCGCTGAGCCTGTTGATCCTCCATGGACTCGTCCAAGCGTGCCCCCTTGGCCGCCTTCCGGTGAAAGAAGAGTTCCTCCTCCGCCTCCTCCACTTCGCAGCCCCAATCCACTGCTTCTTGATCGGGAAGGCGCACCGTCAGCAAAGAGGATGCCGCTGCCGCCGCCGCACGACGCCGCGCTTGGGCCATGAGTGGGCCGCCTGTCACAATGGAGTGCTGTTGAGGCGAGCGCGGCGAACTCCCTTGCCCACCGGCTTGCCTTGCCGCAACTCAAAATATTGAATCTCTTCACGCTGAATCTTCGGAGTCTGTCCGCCATGCAACAACTCTGTCCAAGTCGGCCATGAAGGATGAGCGCAAGCAATGCTCAACAAAAAGTTGCCTTCAAGCGATGTTGAAAAATGTCGAGAACCCACAATCCAATTGAAGTCCCAATGCTAAGAGGGGGGCGTGGATAATCCACTGCATTGATTGCTAAAAGGCCCACGTTGTTTGCTACGCCAACTTCCAAGAACACTCTGCAATACGACGGCCGACGTTCCCCATCACCGAAACGAAAATAATCCAAGGTCTTCTTCACTGCCACAAACCTCCCTTGCTCCCGACAACGTTTCACCTCATGGACCACCCATTGTATACCGGCCACCGCGCGAAGACGCCCCAGATCAACCACCATACGACCAGATAGAACTTCTGATGTATTGACCAGAGTCGCATACTATCCAGGGGCTGTTGATGAAGTTGTTGAGGGGGTAGACCTATCTCCAACTGCTCCCGTCCCCACGAGTTGCATGAGGACATGCCATTGGTCTGACTCACCCATCCCGCCTACCTCCTCCACCCTATTGTCCACTAGCCCACGGGCCTGAGTGAGCTGCCATCCAAGGATCAACTCATCTGGCCCCAACAGCAGCCGCTAGCCCAGCGCTCGTAAAGGTACCACCTTCTTTGGAGGAGTTGCTTCCCAAGCGGATGTCCACCATCTGCAGCAGCAGCCATAGGAGTAGGCCTCCCTGACACCGTCACGCGACGCGCCTCGACCGGTTCCGTCATCACCACTGACCGGACGACGCCGGCGACTCGGCCCCTACCAACGGTAGCCCTTCCGGGCTCCGCTACCACTGAAACGGGTTAAGGGAGGACGGAAAACAACACAAGCGCCTTTTCCTACCATCGGGCACGACTTGAGAAGCATAGACACGCCCGCGTATTCACATGTACAATCTGTCAACGAACTGGTGTGAGCGCCTGTTTGACTAAACCAGCTACTAAGTTACTAAGCCAATCGGACTCGCGAAGCCACAAAGCCGGTTTAAGGGGTGTACAAAGGCCTTTGTGAACATTTTCTCGCGAAGGGGTCTGTGGACAAGATCTCCCACAGCTTCGCGGCTTCTCACAGCTCCGGTCGAACTTTCTTGACCTTCCCTCCCCGCACAATGCAAATCTGAAGTGATTAAGACTTGATGAAACGTGTAAACTCATGTAAATACAGCATGGAACCCCTTTCATCCACCATGCATGCCAACCAAACCCTGTCCTTGGGCACACCCTTTATGATGGCAGCCCCCAGAATCAGCAAATCACTGACCAGCTTCAGTCGCGTTTCCTGGACTTGGCACCAGCACAGCAAATTGGAGAGCGAAGAACACAGTTTCGAGCAAAGGGTGTTGTGTGCGAGGGGACGAAAAGCCCTTTATCAATGACCATCAAACTACCCTTGGCGTGTGACATGACAAAGCGTGCATCTCGGTGCGCAGTGGGCTGGTGCCGGCGCTGTCTCTTTTGGCCCGTACATCATGAGGTGTGGAGGGGAACGAAAATTATGGCCACAAGTGTCCAGTAATGATGAGTCGGAATGAGGGTAACCATGGGTGACCTAAGAACTGCACATCGTAAACACTTCAATAATGACAGACTTCGCGGCCTACCCTGGCTCACCAAACAAGAAGCGCTCTAAACTTGTCTATACATAGGTGTCTAGTCGCAACCAACATAAAACAATAATCATCTATATAAATTGGTGGTATGCTGCAGGTATACTCGCAGCTTTCGTCCAGTCTTTCCCAGCATCCCCCCCATGTCATGAGCGCAACCGAAAGGCAACAGTAATGATGGCCACTGCGAGAAAAACATGTCTCTTTGCGACAAAGAAGGAGGAAACCGTTGAGTGAGCACACTTGAACGTCTTCAAACCACTGGGAGCACAAGCACTTCGGCCGCAAGACTTGGACCCAACCGGGTCCCATCAGTAACGACCTGTGGGACCACGACGAACTAGGACCGAGATCAGCAACAACGGGTGTCTTCATTGCTTAGGACCTCGCTGTAGTCATACTTATTGAGCCGGCCTGCAAAAGGAAAGAACAATGGCCGGATGCCAACAAGGAATTCCCACCAACATCTTGGCCTTTCGCAGCACATCGTAGCAAGTTGCTGGAACGGGCATGGTGTGCCGAAGCATGAACGTGTGCTAAGAGACGCGCAAGGATGCCACATGAGTGCATGGGCCACAAGCACACATTTTGTGAGCAAGGGGCCACTTGCGCACCACAGATTCCCTTCACTTGCGCACCATGAGGCTCTAACGTGCTGAAAAGGTTGCCAATGAATCAGGCACCACAGATCACACCCCACAGCTCTGGATCACTCGGGCACCACGGATCTCCTCCACTCTCCACTCTGAAGGGTTAGGCCAGTTAACGCAAGGGGGTGAGTGGGTGAGTGAGTGAGCGTGTGGGTGGGTGGGTTTGGTGTGAGGTTGGGTAGGGGTGCGGCGGGCGCAAAAGGCATAGGTGGTTCATTGCGCACTCATTTCCGCTGTAAACTATGTGGATCGCGCAAGATCACTTCCGTCACAAAGAATAGGGGCGGGGTGTTTTTGTCACAGTATGTTTTTTGCTTCTGTTTTGTCGGGCTATAGCGCACTCCCTGTACCCAATGTGACTGTAAGCATCCGGCTTCAAGGACCCGCAGTCAACCTAATAGCGATGGCCTCTCCCTGATAGCATTTTATACTAAGACATTGCTGGCCTACATTTCACCTGGCGCACGCCGTGGTCACTCTTTCAACGGGGTGTGGAGGGTGAACGCGCGGGAGCTGGAGCATCTAGGCGACCAACGAACCTAAAAAGGAAACAACAAGAATCAAATTGGTACACACAAAGCAAAAAGAAAGGTCCAAAGGTCTAGAGGAAGAAAAATAACAGGTTATTTGGCATGGGCAACATTTAAGGTTTCCTGACTCACGGTTTTCCTGACCCTGTTGAGCCAACGGCAAAAATAGGTCTCGCGTGGTGCGGAAATCCTGCCGCCGGAGCAAGTGGGCTAAAGCACCAGGGCCGCATCCCCGCCAGCAGCAAAGAAAAGGCATGGAGCATACTGGAAGATACGGGATTCAGCTCAGTGTGTTTCTAATCATATACGCTTTTCGACCTTTTTCTGTGTGGAGAAATTGACGTTGCATCAACAATTGCAAGTGTGAGTTTGCTTGTGGAAACTCAGTCCACGTGAGAGTATGTTTCATTTTGGCCATTTTGGCCCTAACCTCACGGAACCTGACCGCCTAGTGCGGCGGGCATCGATCGTGACGCCGATGGCAATCCAGAGAAAGAGTGCGACTTCGTGAGTGCGACTGTGTGTTTTTGACCTCCACTTGGACCTTGACCCTAGTGACATTGGTAGCGGAGCTGCCTCGCTCCGGGTAGCTCCCTCCCGACCCCCTACGCATTCCAAGGAAACTGCACCCACAACCCTGTCATCTTCTTCACCCTGAGCAGTGCTTACACCAGAGCTCTTTGTGCCGACAAGCTCTACTCCACCGTCTTGGTGACCTTGTGCTACCTTGTACAGTATGACCTCGGAAAAGAATGCCGAGCTCAACACTCACTCGGCCAAAGACAATTTCATCCCGCTCTTCGATGGATCCCTGACGGGATACCGTGAGTGGCGGAAGAGAATCATGATCTACTACAGGAAGATGACCTTGTCAAAACGGCAGGGTGAAGCAATCCTGAACTTGCTGGGCAGCCTGTCGGGTGTCGCATGGAAATTGCGCGAGGACTTCAACCTGCCCAGAAGCGCCCCAGGAGATCTTGAAGATCCTGGATGGCTCCTTGCAGTACGACTCCAATGTTGAGATGCCGGCAGATTTCTTTGCCTAATTGAGCATTTGGCTCGAAAGCCTGGTCAGACCCTCCTGAACTACGTGACCGACCACGACGACCGGAAGAAACAGGTAGAAAAACATGGAATTCGACTGCCAAGCCAAATATAAGGCTGGTTCCTCTCGACGAAAGCCGCCCTGACCCACAAACAGAAGCAAATGATCATGACCCAGGCCGCCTCATTAGAGAGAGAGAGAGAGAGCGAAGATTCAGCAATCCATGTTCGCTATCCTGGGCCAGGACTACAAGGGCGGTGGACAACTCCTTCGAGACCGTTGGAACCGTGCTGCTTCTGGCAAGGGTCGATCTTATTTTGCCGGCGATGACGCTGAAGCCACGTTTGAGTGGGGTGACAGCGCCCCAACTTATGAGGAAGATGATGCCTTCTACATGGATGATGAACCAGGAGGAACCCGATGAGCAAGCCCGACTTCGACACCGAGGAGTTCGATGAGGCGTACGCCTCTTATGTCGATGCTCGCAGGCGCTTCAATGATTTGAAGCTCAGCAGAGGATTTCTACCGGTGGTGGCTCCCCAGGACTCTGCCCCTTCATCGAGCACTACCCCATCGCAAAAGCCTTTCAAAGGCATGGGAAAAGGGAAGACAGGAAAGAACAAAGGAAAAGGCAAAAGCAGCACCTTCCGTTATGATCGCCCTCCTGGCAAGCAACCTGACCCAAAAGGAAGAGCTCGCTCAGCATTGGCACCAGCTGCGTGCGCTGTGGTTCAACCTCGCACGAGACAGCCCAGTGCACTCAGGCGAGTTCTACACCAAAGCCGGCTCCTACGACTTCTGGCAAACGCCAAGCAGTTGAAAGCATGGCTGTGTTGAATGATGAGACCTCCTTGGTTTTGCTTGAGGACGCCGCCGGCCACGAGCGACCAGACTGCGCTACGCTTGATTCTGGCGCCCCCTCGTTCTTGATGGCTAAAGCCATTGGCATGACCAGTGGCATGACCGTCAAAACGTTCGGCTTTGAGACAGGATGGAACTTCACACTCCAGTCACACCAGCGCGCCTTCCTGGAACTACAAGATCAAGAGATGCCGGACGAGATCTACCTGTCTCCCAGCTGTGGTCCGTGGTCACGCATGCAGAACATCTCGGCAACCTCCGAGCAGCGAAAAGAAGTTCTACGAGGACTTCGAGACTGTGGCACCACCGGACACATCTTCAGTTCTGTATCTCAAGCAGTTGAACTTAGGGCGACACGGCCACATCGAGCAGCCAACCTCTGCCCTCTCTTGGGACACTGCAGCGCTTCACTCCTTGCCTGGCTATCGTGCTCGACATCACCAATGCCAATATGGCGCCGTCTGTATGGATGTTGATGAGGAATGATGGAGTGGAGCAAAGAAAGACACCACCATCCTGACGACAAGGCGCTGTGACCAAATGTCAAGTGCCATGAGAAGTGCAGACTGAGCAAATCCAGGACTACATCACGTCACACTGGATCTCCCACTTTGGTGCCCCTGAAGAACTGGTGACCGATGAAGGACGTGGCTGGCTGAGCAACGAATTCCTGGACTGGACCGACAGTCATGGCACAGCATCAGCCACAAGGTCGCACCAGGAAAAGCTCATGAAAGACTTGGTCAGGTCGAGCGAAGACACGCAGTGCTCCGAAAGGCCATTGAGGTCTACATGCACGACCTGAAGTTGGAAGGCAGAGATGGCATCCGCCAGGCCCTGACGTACATTCTTCCACGGCTCAATGCTCAGCCTACCGTTGTTTGATTCTCTCCTATCCAGTGGGTACTTGGATATCAACCAGCTCAACCTGGACTACTACAATCCAGTTCCTGCGCTCTTCACGAACGTGAAGCCTTTGAGAAACACCTCCATCAGCGCAATGTGCCGCAATGTGGCTAAGACCGCCATCCTCCAGGCTGAGACTGATCGCAAGCTGAGACGTGCCTTGCTGAGACGCTACCAAGGCGTCAACCAACGGCTATTGGCCGGACAGAGATGCTTCTACTGGCGAGATGCTCAACAACATGAACTGTGCAAGATCAGACGGCGTGGCCCTGCAAAGGTCGTCTGTGTTGAAGAGAAGGGTAGCCCTCACGTCGACTGGTTGGCTCACAAAACGCAGTTGATTCGTGCCGCACCACATCATGTACGACCAGACTTCACTGCCATTGAGGACAGACACAGCCGTTGAGAAGCTCAGAGATGCAGCTTCCACACTTCACTCACTCAAGTCGAGGAGTGACGCGGTTCATTGACCTGAGCCGAGTCAACAAGCAGGACCCGCTGGACGTTGAAGAACATGAGGAGGAGATGTCACCAGACGAAGGCCCTGAGCCTAAGCGCCGCCGTTGACTTGGATGGATGACTACACACCCTCAGAACCTCCAAACGATGGTGAACTGCAAGGAACTCCATCCTTTCCGCCCTCTCCCCCTCAGCCTACTGTCGAACTAACCGCTCCTGCAGAGCCTGTGGCGCCTCCGGTACTACAAGATCACCTGCTGCCGGCTGTTCGCGAACATCTTGATGATCTCTCTGATCAGCCAAAGCCTTCGATAGAACCGGAACCTCCCACGATGCCTCCGACTCCAATGCATCTGGATCCGGTGACCTTTGAGGCCTACAGCACCATCCATGCGGGGACGTTCAAACAACAGAGACTACAAGTTGATCGGCAAGAGACCCTGTCCTTTGGTCCTCAACGAGCTCGACATCATGAGAAGCCAAGCTCATATGAGAAGCCTCCCAATGAGTCCAGCGAGATGGCCTTTGAGATCCAAGATCTTCACCATACCAGTCTCCCTCGTGGATGGACCTTCAACAAGACCAACCTCTCTTAGAGCTGAAGCAAAAGCTGGCTGACTTTTGGGAAGTCGAGGGAGGATGCCTCATCCGTCATCATGCACGACCTCGCTCAAAGAAATTTCAGCCGGGTGATCAGGCTGACCTTCCGGTGCCCTTGGAGAACCTTGATGATGTCCGGGTCACCATTGGGAACATCTTCCGTGAACCCGGGCAAGAGCCTTCCTCTGACCACTTCAAGACTGAGAATGTGTTCAAGAAGCACTCCAAGGAAGCACCCAAAGGCCTACCTCCAAAATGGGTCGGCTACACGATCTTCCAGATCAATGCCGTGACACGCAAGGAGCTAGGAATGACCGCTACCTTGTCCTCGAGCTCACCTACCTCCTTGAGGCCTTTATCCGCAAGGCCGCTCAACACATGAAAACTCAGCAGCTCCGGCACATCAAGAAGGAGAAAGGCAAGGCGGCGAGTCAGATATCAGGGAAAAGAATCTTACACAAGCAGAACAGCAATTGTTCTATGAGGCCAAGTGCAAGGAGCTTCGTAGTTTCTTCGAATGTGGAGTTTGGGAGTTCACCACCTTGGACTAGGCAGACGCAGCAGAATGCTTTTGAAGTGGGCGAAGAATCCTGATGGCACTCCAAGAGCAAAAGCCCGATTGGTGGTACGTGGCCGCCGTGCTGAGGTGGAATGGCTGGGCAGCAGACGTGGCCACAGCATTCCTTCAGGGCAAGCCCAGACAAGGCAACTTTGGCTTTGCCTACCCAGCGACTGTCTCCAGATCCTTGGTTGTGGCCCAGAAACTCGCATTGGACGCTCCCCGCCGTTGGTGGCAAGAGGCAACAAGGAGATTGACACAGGAAGGGTGGACGGCACATGATCTTGATCCATGTCTTTTTGTACTTCATCACCCCCAAGAAGATGGCTCCACCGTCCCTTGTGGCCTCGTAGCACTCCATGTGGACGACATGTTGGGAGCAGGAGATCGCAATTGCCCCACCTATGCCGCTGCCGAGCGCCGCTTGAAAGAAGTGTTTGATTTTCCAAGTTGGCAAGAAGACCATGAGACCATGGAGTACTTCGTGACCGCAAGGACTACACCTGGACCTTGTCACAACGCCATTTCTTGCAGAAAGTCAAACCTGTGACAGTTCATCGAGGGCGTGGACCTGAAGACCTACTCGGAAGCCTACAGTGGCCCTCAGTTCAGTCACAACCTCATTTACAAGCTAGCTGCAGCCTGATTAGTGGTCAACTGCGTACTGGAAAGTTGCGTGCAATCATGGAAGCCACAATGCCTTGCTCAAGTTCGCAAAAGAACAGGCCGATGTGACATTAAAGTATGAGCCATTTGAATCTGCTCGCAACCACTCCGATCTTTCCAAGATCCGCCTGGTGGTGATGTTCGATGCCTCCCACGCAGCACGGGAGGACCATACCTCTCAAGGACACCTGGCGATCCTCGTCCCCGAGGAGGTCTTTGAGCAAGAGACCCCGTACCATGTGGTTGACTGGTGCAGCTACAAGCTTCCCCGTGTTGCTCGCTCCAGCCTCAGTGCTGAAGCACAAGCTGCTGGCGGTGCCAGCGACAATGCAGAATACATCTGCAGGTTCTGGTCAATCATCTTCGACCCAAGACCAAAGCTACGAGAGCGACTACAAGAATGCTCGCCATTGCGACCTACCATGGTTACTGATGCAAAAGCTCTCTACAGCTTGGCACAAAGAGACAACTACCTCTGCAAGTTCCTCCGTGGACAAGCGCACCTACCTCAAGATCAAGGTCGCCAAACAACAGACCTTGGAGCTCGCAAACCATGGCCGGCCTCTATGTCCTTGAGGACGACGCCTATGGCTATGCTGATCTACTTCACACAGATCAAGGCTGTCACTGCCGAACACTTGGGTGACTTCATGCCGTTGGCTCCAGGTGACATTTGCCTGGCTGATGATGATCCTGCTGATGAGTGGTCGATTCTCTCCTATGTCTCCCTTTTCATCCTCGCCACCATCCTCATTGTGAGCTCCTGACCTACAAGTTGGGCAGATTCCTCGAACGACGAAGTCAGATCAAGGACCTGAAGGTCAAGTTGAGGGTGGCCGAAGGTTGAAACAAGAGACACTTTGACAGCGTCTTGGACGGCCAAAGCTTGTTGTTTGACCGCCGCATATCGCAGCTTGAGAATGACTTGGTGAAGGCCGCTGAGACCAATGCCGAGAACCGCCGGCACCACAACGAGATGATGGAACAGTGGACCATAGAGCAACAAGAAGCTGATGAGACCGACAAGGCCTTTCAGCAATGTCAAGCTCTACTGTCACGATGCTATCGAGAGCTCCTGGATCACTTTGACGATGAATGTCCTATAGAGATGGGCATCCGCGTGACACCGTTTGGCCACACCTTCCACACTCGAGCCGGCTGCCATGGTTTGAAGCAGGCACACCGAGTCGACCGACGTCCCTGTTGCGCATTTTGCAACCCTTCTCCTCGTACGCCGTACAGAGTGAACGGCTTGAGTGGCACGACCCTGTGGCAGGACATGGAATCCTGGCGACGCCAATATGGCGACCTGCCATATGAGGAGTGGATGATTGGCTGAGAGCTCGCAATTTTTTTGTACACCTTTTACCGGTGTGAGTTCGCTTGTGGAAACTCAGTCCACTTGACAACATGTCTAATTTTGGCCATTTTGGCCCTAACCTTACGGAACCTGACCACCTAGTGGTGGGCATTGATCGCGACGCCAATGGCAATCCAGACAAAGAGTGCGACTTCGTGAGCCGCTCTAGAGTCGAGAAAGAAACCTTGCGTGTTTTCGACCTCCACTTGGACCTTGACCCTTCGTTACCAGTGTCCAAGTGACAGCAAGCTTTAATTAAGAATAACAAGGATGCTTGCGGTATTCCGGGAAAGCGCGTATCACAGCAGAGCGAAGCCCGGAGGAAGCCCGTTGCGCGTCACAGCAGGCTAATTCCGTGAAGCCCAGCGCGCAAACATTCCCAGCGCAGTCCACAGTACCCTGGAGGGAGGACGCGGAGGAAGCTGAGGACAAACGGGGAGATGAGGCAAACCTGTCTTTAATCTAGACTTCGAGGTGGTGAACCTTGCCTCGGGGTTCATGCGGTGCACAAGTGTGTGAGCAGAAATCGTTGTGCACAAGCGAGATTATTTGGCGGTGCACAAGCGACCTGCCCTAGTTTTGTCTACTCTGACTCTATCTTTGATGTGGTGAGCAAGTACATATGGACACTCTGCAAGCAATAATGTCAAGTCAGGCAACCATATATCCAGAGTCCAAAGTTTCCTGTGTTGGTTTGACTTGAAAAGGCACGATGTTTCCAAATTAGAGTTCCCAACAGAATTCTGCTGATTTCATGGTTTGGGAACGACCGTTGTAGCAGAAGTCTCGGCAGGCCTTCCGACCACAAGATGGGCTCTGGACGTGCATAGGCTGCAGGCTGAATGACTGTGTGCCTGAGCCACAATCAGCTCCCGGGCAAAAATGCCAAGCTCAAAAGGAATCAACATAAAAACAATGCTCATCCAGTGTTTCTGAAACCAGTGTGGTGTGGTGCTATTCCAGAGCAAAGCTGCCTGTCTAGTGGAGTGGGCGGTGAATGGCAGTGAATCCCAATTGATCTTTTCTTTGCTTGATGACTCTTCTAATTACCACTGGTCGCCCACCGTACGGACCGATTTGAACGCCGCATGCTTCTACACTGCCTCCCCAAGTTCAACTGCACAAAATTTAAATTTCTGGATCAGCTGAAATCCAATCCATTGTGTTTTTGCAACACCTGGGCTGGTCTCGGCAAGAGCCTCATTCGGTGCTTGGGGAGTTATTCATCTAGGAAGGCCCAATTTGGAGAATCTTACGCTTGCGCTTGTGCCTTTAGCAGGATCTTTGTTCGTCACCATCCGGAGTTCTCATAACAGTTGTTCGGTCACCATGGGTGCTGTTCAAATACAGACGGAATCCGTCGACCGACGCATCCAGCCTGAAGTCTGTGAGTTCCTTCGCGCCCGGTTGGTGCCGTGAAGGCAGTTTAAAAAGGATGCTGCTACTGTCGGCACCCCAAAACAAAACAAAATGGCTGCCTGTCGTCAATCAAACGTATTGTTGGTCAAAACCCACAATTCCAAGGGAGAAAACCTGCCCACTCCGGATTGCGGGGAGGCGCCTTCGGGTTCTCGTTTGGTTCTGAGTTGGTCTTCTTCTAGCAAGAGTGACCTTATCTTCAAACCTCCTTGGCTTTCTAGAGGTAAGGTCTTAAACGCGATGGAAACGGAATCGGGCTACTGCTAGTTTCATAATGCTGCGCCTGCACCTTTCCTGTCTTGATGAGCCGCCAAGAAACAAACATCAAGCAACAAAAGAGAAGAAAACAGCACACAATTTTAGCAACACAACAGTGTTTGTATAACCGCCATGGAGCGGTCTCCTTTGATAAGTGCTCAAGGTCAAAGTGAGAGGTGTGGCCATCAGTGAAGCCCACCTGGCGCTGGGGCAGAAGAATACCCAACACCAACAAGCATCAATATGCCAAATTTTGGCGGCAAGAAAGGTCAATATTGGCCTGGTGGTCATATTGTTGATTGGTGCAAATCAAAACAAGTCAATACAGCACGCACATGTCCATCCCAACGACCGTGGTCTTGGCTGAAATCACCTCTTCCTCAAGGTGGCCTTCATGCAGAACTGTTCAAGCGTGGTTTCGTAGGAACTTGAATGACGTTCCCCTTGCGGTGGCCATTGAATCCTGCTCTGTTGCTCCTTGCTACAGTGGCTTCCAGATTCGTATTACATTGGATGAGAGATCAAAAAAAACTTCTACACGCATCAGTAAAAAAATACTGATTCAAACAAATATTCCAAATAGCAGTAGCAGTAAGAGTAGCAACAGTACTATAGTAGCAGCAGTATCGCAGTGGTAGTCGTAGTGTTTCGTGGCAGGTGCAGTACTTTGTGGACCTTGCAATGCACTTTTCGTGGCAGTTGCAGGACTTTGTGGATGTTGAAGTGCAGAGTTGGTGGCCAGTGGCAGGCGCAGGACTTTTTGTGGACCTTGAAGCGCAGATTTCGTGGCAGGTGTAGTATTTTGTGGCCCTTGGAGTGCAGATTTCGTGGCAGGCGCAGGACTTTGTGGACCTTGAAGTGCAGATTTCGAGGCAGGTGCAGTAGCTTGTGGCCCTTGGAGTGCAGATTTCGTTTCAGGCGCACGACTTTGTGGACCTTGAAGAGGAGATTTCGTGGCAGGTGCAGGACTTTGTGGATGTGGAAGTGCAGAGTTGGTGGCCGGTGCAGGACTTTGTGGGCCTTGGAGTGGGCAGATTTCGTGGCAGGCGCAGGACTTTTTGATGTGGAAGTGTAGAGTTGGTGGCAGGTGCAGGACTTTGTGGCCCTTGGAGTGCAGATTTGGTGGCAGTACTTTGTGGATGTTGAACTGCAGATAGACAGATAGAAAGATAGAAAGATAAATGGATCGATAGATACATAGATAGATAGATAGATATATAGATAGATAGACAGATAGATAGAGAGATAGAGGAGGCATATTTGCTTGGTTAGAAAATTTTGGACCGGGGAGTTCACCTTAAAATATTGATTTCGTGGCAGGCGCGGGTGTCGGGGATGAAGTGCAGATTTCGTGGCGCGAGGGGGTTAGGGGGGGGCGCAGCGCCCCCCCCCAGCAGCACACCAGATCCAAAGGTGAGCAGCTCGTGCTTGCTTGCTTGCTTGCTTGCTTCCTTGCTTGCTTGCTTGCTTCCTTGTTTGGCTTCGTCTCTGCAAAGCAACCAAAAGGAAAAGCAAAAGCAAAAACGAGAAAGGAGAACAGCTGCGAAAAAGAAAGAAAGAAAGAAAGAAAGAAAGAAAGAAAGATGAAGGACCAGAGGACCAAGGGACTCGCGGACCAGTGGACCAGCGGACTGCAGGGGACCAGCGGACCAGGACCAGCGGACCAGAGGACCAGCGGACCAGAGGACCAGAGGACCAGGGGACGGACCAGAGGACCGGCCACCTACACGACTGGGAATTCCAAGGGGATTTCATCGCACAACGAATATTTGTTTATTGACTCAGTAAATATTTAGTTTTGATTCGGTAAATATGTTTTTATTGATTCGATAAATGTTATTTTTTGATACCTATGCCTATTACATTCTTGCGCTTCCACGCTCTTGTGCTTTCGTTTCTTGCCCATCGCAATTTGCAAAGAACAGTCGCATGGCATCGTGAGGGTCTTCCCCCATGTCATTGACTGTAACCACCTCCTATTTTGTCGATTCATCAGTGGCTTGCCCGCGGAAGCCATACAGAGTCCCGTTTTCCCAGTATATATTCAGCTCCAGGAAGGTTAGGTAAATGCCGGCAGCTGCAAGAGGATGAGAAAACAACAGCGCCACAGGGTCTCACTGCTGGCCTGAAATCTGCTCCGACCATGCGAAGGGTGAGTCACTTCCAAATGCATAACATACCAGGCCTGCAGGGTGTCGCCGCCAATGATGCTGGCATTCTGAAAGAAAATGTCCTGCTCCATCAAACGCAATCAGGTTGCAGGACGATTAACTGATATCGTCATATCGTCACTGTAAGCAGCAACTGAAGCAAAAGAACCTATACATCCAAATGCCAAATACACACCTGAACCTCCCTCCAAAACCTACAAAGCAGCGCCTGAAGCTGAATCTCTTGAAATCTCTTGCGCCAGGCAGCCATGCTTACGTCCAAGCTTGGGAGTGCAAAAAAAAACTTGCAGAATTCTAGGCAGCGCTGCGCCAAGCAAGGATGGTTCAACGTGCTCTGGTTTGCGCCAGCCGGTCACCCACAAGTGGAGCTCTGGCCTTCGGCATCTCATGAGGCATCCATAAAGGCTGCTTAGTGTTCACGTCCACCTGGGCGGTGAGGACAAACGTCAAAGAAAAACACAGGACTCCTACGTTGCTCCTTCATTGGGCGCTCCGCGTTATGGATGTGAATCACTCTTCACATACACACGCGCGCACACACACTTGAGAAGGTTGCTCCGTAGAGCGCGACTTCAGGCTGCTTCGCGGAGCCCTTTAGAATGACTGCAAATTAGACCTTGACTAAAAAGAAGTGCTGAGTCAGTTGACCAGAATGTTGGAACAAGTCGTGGAAAGTGAAGTGATTCAAACAATTGGAAAATGGCAGGTACGTCGATTTGGCATCCCAAATCGATATCACCAGCACACATCCAGTGTCTTCGTTGGTGCAAGACTGGATGGGCTGCTTGCACCCCCTGCGAGTGTTCTGTACAAATGGTTGAGGAGAATAGTAGGAATAGCTAGAGTAAGGCCCTTGGAAACAGGGGTGGACACACACAGAGAGCCGAATCCGGCGCAGTAAGAGTCAGCCAAAAAAATTAAAAAGCTCATAAATAAATAGATGGCAAAGTGCAGACAATCTCGCTCTTTTTGACGTGGCCGCAGCGCCGCGGCGCAATGTTCGTAGGAATGACCTTTTGTCATATAAAGCTGCATCAACTGTTGGGAAGTGTTTGGGATCAAGTGCTGGGGATAGGTGTATTGACGTAGTGTGTGACGTCGTGATTGTAGGCCTGAAAGCCGTAATCTGTGGCTTCCGGCGGACTGTGGGTCGCGAATCTGCCATGGGTGTGTGGGAAGCTGGAAAGTGACTGTTCTGTTGAGCAGATCAATGTGGAAGCCGAGTAGATGGTCGTCGTCTACTGGCTCTATTTCAACCGGGTGTTCGTAAAAATCGGGGTGGGCAAGTGTGGTGATAGGTAATGTTTGTCTGAACTGTTCGTTAAGCAGGACGTAGCGGTGGTCAACGTAGCGTGTATTGAAGAGGTGAAGGCTGGGTTGTTGAAGGAGATCGTGATATGTGGTGTGCCAAGTGTGTTCAATGAGTGTGATGGCAACGTTGCAAAGAGCTGGTGAGAGTTGGTTTGTAGTAGGAGTTGCAGGCCTGGAAAATGCATGATTGAAGCGCATGCTGGACAATAAGAGGGATGTGTTGTGTGTCGATGGTGCGTTGCTGCGGATGGTGGATGTAGTGCCTGCCGATGTGTGTGTGTGTTGAATTGCCAGTGGATTGTACGTCAATGCTGAGAGTGGTGGTAGTGTGTTGGATGCGCCAGCGAGTGCAAGGCTCATGACTGCCTCAGCCAGTCGTTGTGCGGTACGCTGTTGAAGAAGCCGACGAGGTCATCATTGATGGCGGTGAGGTGACTGTCTGCTGGTGTTTCGTGAAAGTGTGTGTGTGTGGGTGTTGCCATAGTTTGGGGATGGAAAGTTGGCCCGGATGTTGAGGTAGGAGATGTAAGAGCATAATGTCTAGTGCTTTGGAAGTGGCTCGCAGGAGTGTACCGGCGATGGATCGGAAATAGCTGATGACTGTTCGACCTTTTCTCCAGGACTTCTTTTGTTTTAGGAAGACGACTCCCTGAGGTGTGTAGAAATGCTTGCGGAAGCCCCATGGATAGGCTCGTCGAATGCTGGTGGGGAACGATTGGGTGAGCATGGTGTGAAGTTGTTGAGCGGTAAGTTGGGGAAGTGGTAGAAAAAAGTTGCGGTGTATTCCAAGTTGTAAGGCAGCCGTGGAAATAGTGCTGAGGGCAAAACAATCGAAGGTTCTGCAGTTCATGGTCGGCATGGTGCAAAACAAGTTTGTCTGTGAGAAATTGCTGCAGTTGTGTGACGTTCCGAGAGGTGAATCGCGGTATATGGTGGATGTGGTCAATGTGGTGCTTCCATTGTTGTTGAAGGAAAGGTTCGCTGTGTTGATGTAGTGATGTGGATAGGCCGTGGTGGCGGAGCCACTGAGTAAGGTGGTGGTGAAACTGGTGAAAATATTGTGTTTTTGTGGGGAAGAATGTGCTGTTCATGTTCGCTTGGAGAAACAGTTGGAGGTGGCTGGGAGTTGAAGGTCGTCTAAGGTCAGCGCGTAGTGGCCATCGTACATTGTCGGTGTGAGATCAGGGCGGAGCAGTGTGTGCATGTGTGAACAGCTGCATGGCATTTCGGTGGCTGAAGGGTTGGCTGAGAAGAGTTCTTCCCATTGTTTGTGGTTATAAAGGCGTGACCTTAATGTCTTGTGCGCGGCTTCGCGAAGCTTGGTGGTGGGTGGGTGAAAAGGGATGACGTGGTGCATGTGGTGTTGGATCAGGTTTCGGAGCCATTTTTCAGTAGGAGTGAGATTGCGAAAGCTGAGTGCTGAGTGTATCTGAAGTACTCGTGATCGGTCAGGTTCCTCAAGACTCGCTGCCATGCGGCGAAAGGCATAGATTTCTAAGTCGGTGTATTTGCCGCTGCGAATGGCTGTGGCTGTTTCAAAGGAGGAGTGTGTATGTTTGCTAAGTTCCCGGAGGACAGTCAGGGCGTGTAGTCGTTGGCTGGTATGTAGGTTAGGTTGTTTTAATAGTGTTTTGTCGTCGTCTCAGTCTTTGGAAAAGGCGTTTGTGTGTGGACATACGAGTGAAGGTGGTGCGGTGTTTTGCAAATTGCCATCCTGATGCTTTGAGTTTGAGGTGACGTTGGATGTATGGCCAATTGAGTGTGGGTTGCCAATCTTGGATGTGGAGGTGTTCGTAGGTCCATGCTTGATCGTAAGTGTCGTGGTGGGAAAGGTAAATAGTGCTGTAGTGATGGAGATTTTGTTTGGAATGCCAGTGTCGAAGAGATAGTTCTGCTGAAATTGGGTGGTTGTTTTGCAGTTGCTTGAGTTTGGCGTGGCGGTTGTATTCTCGCTTGGGAATGCTGATGCTGGTAGAGCCAATGTAGGTGTGTCCGCGCTGGTGGTATTGATGTGTTGTCTGATGTTGATTGAAGTAGAGTTTGGCATAAACTGCATTGGGTTGTGTGAACATGTGATAGTGGTATGTGTGGGATGTGACGTGGAGTTGACGGAGGCGTGAACGCCATTGGTTGGAGTGATGTGTGTGTGAGGGGCAGGCAAAGAGGCATGTAATGTGGATAAGGCTGTCGCGTAAGTCTTGTCAATAAAAGGTGTGAAATGTACGAAATGTGAAAGGGCTGTGTGGAGTTGTGTCAAATGTTGTAGTGTAGTATGAGTGGGTTGATGCAGAGCTTGTTGAGCGAGTCAGGCCGCCAGGGCTGATCCTGCTGCCACGAGCTGCTGAAGTGAACGCGGTGGGAGCTTAAGCACACGGCTGAGAGGAATCCCATAACGTGTTGCTGCTTCTTGAAGTTGCTCTTTTGTGATGCGTTCATCTCGGAGGATCTGCATGATGATGTTGGCTTGTGTCTGTGTTGCTTGTGGTAGTGTCTTGAGCCATTTCTGGATGCCTGCTGCTGCATAGTTGGCTGGTGAATTGTCTTGTAGGGTTTGTGAGGTGGGGTTGAGAATAGTGTTGGCTGTGAGAGCTGCTGGGGCGGTCAGGGGAAGGGTGGGGTGAGGAGCGGAGGCAGGGGCAGGTACTGCTCCAGGGTTTGTAGGTGTGAGTACAATGCCGTGGTTCTTGAGTTTGTCACGAGCTCGCTGCAATTCGCTTTCTTGTTGGTGCAGTCGATCTGTCTGTTGCTGGAGTTGCGGAGCGCTGTGCCTTCGCCTGCAGGTGGTGTGAGTCCTCGCAAGAAGCCGACGATGCGAGATATCAAAGGCTGCATGAACTGTTTGGCTTCTGTGGTCTTGTTGGGGATTGGTTGATGTGCTCGTTGATGCAGGTATTCAGCGATATTGTCAATGTCCAGGTTGTGGGCGCGCATCTCGGGTAGAAGTTGGGAGGTGAAGACTGCCTCTGCGATAGATCTGGTGGTCACAATGCCTGTGTAACGTCCCTGTGAAAGTGTGCGCAGGCTGTGATCTTGGAGGCCAAAACGGCTGAGTTGCCAGGGAAATATTTCAAGGACGGGTTGTCCTGCAAGGTTGTATTTCCTGGACCACTGTGTTGGCTGTATTGTACGAAATAATGTCTGTCCATGGACTGCGTTTGTATAGAGGTGTGTATTGCTGGGGGTCCATGTGTCTGGCAGGTTGGGCGTGTTGGGAGGCACAAAGCCCAGTGGTGATGGTGTGGGGTGAGAGGGGGCAGGTGGAGGGGGAAGTGGTTCAGGTGGAAAAGTGGTGGCGATAGCCGGCGCCGTGGTGGTGTTGTGATCGGTGACGATCGGAGTTGTCAGAGCATTTCTCATTTCATTTGAAGTGCCGTATGACTGGATCGGGAGATGGTTGTGGATTATGGATAAGGTCACATGTACCGAAATCCTGATTGTTGAGTTTTGCACATCACCGGAGTCCGAGATGAAAGAAGTCGGAAGCCGTACGGAAGGTGTTGAAGTCTTGACTGTCACTGAGGCGGATGACGGAACCCGATCGGACACAATCGAGTCAGTTCGGGAGCAGATGCTGTTGGGATGTGGTAAGGATGTTGGTAGTGATGACGTACTGCATTTGTCAGCGGCCCGTATCCCGCGCTGGGGGCCGCGGTAGCATAGTATTGGTGCCACCATTGTTGATGTGCATCCATAGTTGAAATCGCAAAAATGAGCCGAGCAGTGTTGGGGAACTGAGGGCTGTCGGTCGTTGAGAATTTGAACCACAATGGCTTGAAATATCCAAAGTTAAAAGTCTTGTGTGGAAGGAAGCATCTTGCAGAAAAACAAGTCAACATCCTCGGAAAAAGACTGCTGTCACTGGATCGAAAGCTCAATCGACACCGTGAGTGAAATTGATGTCCGCGGGAAACATGAGAAAGGTTCCAAGCTTGAATCAAGATGTAAAAGAACCATTGTATCAAAGGTAAGAATGGATATAAAAGTTTGAACGTGCTGGAAAAACAGTGTGGTAGGTGATCTTGAAGGCTGCAGGAGCGAAGAAATCTGGTTGAAGTGGACGTTTTGACTATGATAGCCGGTTGTCTGGTGCTGTACAAGTATAAAAACCAAGTGTC